ATATATATATATATATATATATATATATATATATATATATATATACACATATATATACACACACATACATATACACACACATACATATACACATATAGATAAATACACATATATACATATATATACAGGTCCTTCTAAAAAAATTAGCATATTGTGATAAAGGTAATTATTTTCCATAATGTAATGATACAAATTAAACTTTCATATATTTCAGATTCATTGCACACTAACTGAAATATTTCAGGTCTTTAATTGTTTTAATACTGATGATTATGGCATACAGCTCATGAAAACCCAAAATGCCTGTCCCAAAAAATTAGCATATTTCACCCCACCAATGAAAGACAAGTGTTTTTAATACAAAAAACGCCAACCTTCAAATAATCTTGTTCAGTTATGCACTCAATACTTGGTCGGGAATCCTTTTGCATGAATGACTGCTTCAATGCGTCTTGGCATGGAGGCAATCAGCCTGTGGCACTGCTGAGGTGTTATGGAGGCCCAGGATGCTTCGATAGCGGCCTTAAGCTCATCCAGAGTGTTGGGTCTTGTGTCTCTCAACTTTCTCTTCACAATATCCCACAGGTTCTCTATGGGGTTCAGGTCAGGAGAGTTGGCAGGCCAATTGAGCACAGTAATACCATGGTCAGTAAACCATTTACCAGTGGTTTTGGCATTGTGAGCAGGTGCCAGGTCGTGCTGAAAAATGAAATCTTCATCTCCATAAAGCTTTTCAGCAGATGGAAGCATGAAGTGCTCCAAAATCTCCTGATAGCTAGCTGCATTGACCCTGCGCTTGATAAAACACAGTGGACCAACACCAGAAGATGACATGACACCCCAGTGACTGTGGAAACTTGACACTGGACCTCAAGCAATGTGAAATCTGTGTCTCCTCTCTTCCTCCAGACTCTGGGACCTTGATTTCCAAAGGAAATGCAAAATTTACTGTAATCAGAGAACATAACTTTGGACCACTCAGCAGCAGTCCCAGGCAAGATGCTTCTGACGCAGTCTCTTGTTCAAAAGTGGCTTGACCTGGGGAATGCTGCACCTTTAGCCCATTTCCTGCACACGCCTGTGCACGGTGGCTCTGGATGTTTCTACTCCAGACTCAGTCCACTGCTTCCGCAGGTCCCCCAAGGTCTGGAATCGGCCCTTCTCCACAATCATCCTCAGGGTCCGGTCACCTCTTTTCATTGTGCAGCGTTTTCTGCCACACTTTTCCCTCCCCACAGACTTCCCACTGAGGTGCCTTGATACAGCACTCTGGGAACAGCCTATTGGTTCAACAATTTCTTTCTGTGTCTTACCCTCTTGCTTGAGGGTGTCAATGATGGCCTTCTGGACAGCAGTCAGGTCGGCAGTCTTACCCATGATTGTGGTTTTGAGTAATGAACAAGGCTGGGAGTTTTTAAAAGGCTCAGGAATCTTTTGCAGGTGTTTAGAGTTATGTCGTTGATTCAGATGGTTAGGTTAATAGCTTGTTTAGAGAACCTTTTCATGATATGCTAATTTTTTGGGACAGGCATTTTGGGTTTTCATGAGCAGTATGCCATAATCATCAGTATTAAAACAATTAAAGACCTGAAATATTTCAGTTCGTGTGCAATGACTCTGAATTATATGAAAGTTTCATTTTTATCATTACATTATGGAAAATAATGACCTTTATCACAATATGCTAATTTTTTGAGAAGGACCTGTATATATACGTATATATATATATATATATATATATATATATATATATAAAGGCATTTTAAACACTTCTCACACTCTTGCATTATAATGTTTTTAAACTCTAAACGCTTTAAAAGAGCCCAGAATGTCATGATTTCAGCTCCCTGCCTCCTCTGCTCTTTGTCACCTGCAAGCGCTCTTGGCCACGCCCACTTCTCCGCTCTGCACAAAGAACAGCTGATCAGCTGCAGCAGGAAGTTTATCCTGCAGTATGGGCTGCACAAAGGAGCAGCAGGTGTTAAATCATTTAAATTTATTTATTTTTTAAAAATCCATGCCAATCATGTGGCTCATCCATCAACCAGCCAACTGTGTGTCATGTCCAATCTCATTTTGAAAAACCGTGACACAGCGAGTCCGCGATAAAGGAACCACGAACTAGCAAAGGACTATTGTAATTTTAAAAGAAGTTTGACAGAAGTCAGCTTTGAGTATCGCTGGTTTCAATACCAGTTTTAAAATGTGATTGTATTTAACCGTCTGTAACAATGGTAAAAAAAAAACAAAAAAAAAAAAACAAAGTCGAGCCTGAACAGAGCTGCTTTTACAATTCCCCTTTTTAAATTAAATTTATAAACACTGCTTAAAGCCTTGATTCTATTTTTTTTTTGTAGTTTTAAATCTTAGCAGCTTGTGTTTATTATTATTATTCACAGTTGCAGCAGCGCTAATAAATGCACTCAGAAATGTGCATTCAAAAACACTGATTGACATTTAAAACAATGTTTATTAAATCAACTGGTGATATTAAGACATTTGTTTGTACGAATAATGAAAAGAACTATGATTTGTGGAGATAAAATGTCTCTCTACACTTTAATCCTTTACCTAAGCTCAGAATACAACAGAAGGAGGAACAATTATTTACTGGAAGAGACATTTAAAGTGATGTAATGATGAGGATTTGAATGAGATATTTGGCTGTGGAAAACCAAACATGTCTGAACGTGAACCAGCTCTAGCACCAGCCATGGGCTAGCACTGGGATCTCTTTAATCTAAAAATCCTAAAACAGTGACACTGACCTGCAAGTTGTCCAAGATGATGCGAAGAGACTGAACTTGTCTCCTCACTGCATTAGAAAACCGCTCATACGTAGAAGCATCATATTCACTCATGTTGATCTCCTTTAATCTAAGACAAAAACACAAAGAAGAAGAAAAAAACCACAGCCTTTAAAGAGGGTTGCATTTGGCCATGGATGTGTGGGATCACTGTGGGTTCACTGTGGGGTCACTGTGAGGCTTGTGTTCTCTTTTAGCTATATGAAGACATGATGATGGTTATACAAGTTCTCTCCGTGCATGCGTAGGATCTCTCCAGGTATTCCGGTTTTCTCTCACAGATCAAAATCATGCATGTTAGTCTAAGTGGTAACTCTAAATTGTCCCTAGGTGTGAGTGATAGAATGAATGATTGTTTGTTTTGTTTGTCTCTCTATGTGCCCCTGTGATGGACTGGAGACCTGTCCAGGGTGTCCCCCATCTCTCGCACAGTGACTGCTGGACTTGGGTACCAGTGACCCATGTGACCCAAAAAGGAAGAAGCAGGTAAAAATAATGGATGGATGGATAAACGACAACAACAAAAAAAGAATATTTCAGTCTCATTTTTTCAATATCAAGAATTGTTTTCCTTGTCAAATTTAAAAAAAAATCCTCTCTCTTTAATATAATGTAGTTCTAATGAGGCAGCTCACATTTGGCTCATTTTCTACTGCCTTAATAAAAATATAAATGGGACAGTGCTTGTAGAAAGTTGTTAAAGGGGGACCGTAGGGTGTCCTCCAATTACAGGAGCATCACTCTCCTTAGCCTCCCTGGTAAGGTCTATTCAGGGATACTAGAGAAGCGAGTCCAATCACTGATTGAACCTCAGATCCAAAAAGAACAATGTGGGTTCCGTCCTAGCCGTGGAACACTGGATCAGCTCTTTACCCTCACTAGGGTCCTCAAGAGGTTATGGGAGTTTGCCTATTCAGTCAACATGTGTTTTGTAGAATATGAGAAGGCATTCGACTGTGTTCCTTGGGGTATACTGTGGGGGGTGCTCTGTGAGTATGGGATTGGAGGCCCGTTGTTACGGGCTGTTCAGTCCCTATACAAGCGGTGCGAGAGTTTGGTTTGCATTGCCTGTAGTAAGTCGGACTCCTTCCGGGTGGGAGTTGGACTTGGCCAGGGCTGCCCATTGTCAACGATTCTGTTCATAACTTTTATGGACAGAATTTCTCGGTGCAGCCCGCTGGCGGAGGGTTTTCGGTTCGGTGGCCTCAGGATTCCATCTGTGCTCTTTGCAGATGATGTGGTCCTATTGGCATCATCATGCAGTGATCTTTAGCTCTCACTGGAGCAGTTCATAGCCGAGTATGAAGCAGCTGAGATGAGAATCAGAACCTCCAAATCTGAGGCCATGGTCCTCAAAGAGAAAAGGGTGGATTGCTCTCTTCAGGTCGAGGGTGAGTTTCTGCCTCAACTGGAGGAGTTCAAGTATCTCCGGGTTTTGTTCACAAGTGAAGGAAAAATGGAGCGTGAAATTGACAAATGGATTGGTGCAGCATCTGCAGTATTGCAGACTCTGTACCGGTCCGTTGTGGTGAAGAGAGAGCTGAGCTGTAAGGCAAAGCTCTCCGTTTACCGGTCGGTCTACGTTCCTACCCTCACCTATGGTCATGAGCTCTGGGTAGTGACCGAAAGAATGAGATTGTTGATACAGGCAGTTGAAATGAGTTTTCTCTGCAGGGTAGCTAGACTCTCCCTTAGAGATAGGGTGAGAAGTTCAGTTATCCGGGAGAGACTCAGAGTAGAACTGCTACTCCTCCACATCAAGAGGAGCCAGTTGAGGTGGTTCGGGCATCTGGTAAGGATGACCCCTAAGTGCCTCCCTAGGGAGGTGCTTTGGGCATGTCCAACTGGGAGGAGACCCTGTGGAAGACCCAGGACATGCTCGAGAGACTCTCAGTTCGCCTGGGAACACCTTGGAATCCTCCCAGAATAGCTGGAAGGGGTGGCTGTGGAAAGAGATGTCTGGGCCTCCCTGCTAGGGCTGCTGCCCCCGCGACCCGACTTCGGAATAAGCGGAAGATGGATGGATGGACATTGCTTGTAGAAAGAAAGGCTGTTTAAGACACATTTTGTGGAAATTAGACCATTTCTACAAGAATTGCCTTAACTTCTACTGATGGCAGTTCTTTTTGAGTTCATGAGTCTTCTGTTTCTCATGTTTATGTGATGTAGTATTATTTCCTTTATTATTTATATATTTATTTACTTAGTTACCTATGTATGTATGTATGCATATATGCATATATGCATGTATGTATGTATGTATGTATGTATGCATGCATGCATGTATATTTTTATGTATGCATGCATGCATGTATTTAATTATGCATGTAGTTAGTTAAGCCCCCAGTATACTCCCGCGTACGTTCATACACAGAGGTACGCACGTACGTACGCGGAGGTACAAGCGTACCTCCCAGGGCATGTCCATGCAAAGCTCAATTTCAACGACCGCATACGCGTACGCGGTGTCGCACAATAAACTGCCCAGCGACAGACTGTTTTGTATGCGACACCAATGTATTAAATTCCCCTTCTTCATCCCTGATCTGGCCTTTTCTTTTGTTTTGTTGCCAAGAGTCGAGTGATCTCTTCCTCCTCCGTTGATGCAATGACTGAAACGGTGAGAAATGAAGGAATTTGTCACGAGCGAATTAAACTCAGGTCCAGCATGGCTGCAAGAGGGTCTGGAGATTTCCTGGTGTGCTGGTCTGATGTGTGGGCTGCAGAGCTAGCGCTCCATTTTTTTTTTTAAGATCTTTTTATTAACAACATATAAACACAGAACACCGCTGAGGCTGCCAGCGCTCCTCATTTTATTTTTTCCGACCTGTCAATCAATCCAGTAGGCGTGTCATCAAATGACCAATCGGCGACCTCAATTTGTCCCGAAGGTAAACACCCCTTGTCTGTGAAGCTGCTCTGCAGCTGCTCAGGGTGTACGCTCGAGTACGATGTCTGAACCCTCTGCGTACAGTACACGCGTACATATGCGTGAACGGACGTAAGCGGGAGTATACTGGGGGCTTTAGCTATGGAGTTAGTAGGAGAGATCATATCTCTCCAGTTTCAGTTTCTCTTCATTGGCTCCCTGTCAAATTCAGAATTTAATTAAAAATCTTACTTCTAACCTACAAAGTTCTTAACAACCTAGCTCCATCTTATATTCAAGCTCTTATTGTTTTATATGTTGCCATGACCCATCACTGTGACTCCAGTTCTACAGTGGGGCATACTCATTGGCTTCTGAAACTCATAGGCCCGCACCCCAGAGAGTTCCTGGAACCTGATTGGCTTGTGGATTGTGGCTTGGGAAAATCAGGAGTCTGAGAAAATATAAAATTCTTGTTTTTGTATGTCTTGGCCCTCAGCTTCCTCAGATCCCTGTAATCTGAGGAATGGGCAAACTGAAATTCCAGTAGTCTTGTTTCTTTATTTCCTAATTTCCTTTATTTATTTTGTATAATAAATCCCACAAAAGACAACTGATTTGCTTAATTCTTGAGCCCATCATTATCTCAGAAATTCACAACAGCTTCCTGACAGTCAGCACCATTTACCCAGGCCCAGCACTGACTTGTGCACCATAGCAGCTAGTTGAAAGAATTCCTCACAGAACATGCAGGTTGATTAGAAAGAGGCCAAGTAGGCAATAATTTCTACTGTTATGAGTTTAGCTAAATTCGTCAGAGGTTCAGAGCCACAGTAAATCAAAAACATTCTCTTTTAGCTTTTTAGCTTCCCTCTTTTAATATTATAATGTCCCAAAATAAGACGTAAAAACAGAAATCTTGTGTCTTTGTGGTTGTCAGTGGCATTGAAAAATAAAGTTTCGTGGATATAAGGCTTCTGTTTGTCTAGCATGTTTGACAAAAGGGAGTGTCAGCCTAAGTCAGTGTGTTTGTGGGCTTTGTGTTCACATGCCTCCACCTCACTGTGAAAAATCTAAATCTTTCCTACTGCTCATCATGTACTCTCCAGCTGTTTGAGTCAAAGTTCAAGAATTTGAAGGAAATGGCTACAACAACTGGCCAGAATGTTTGGTCATCATGCATCTGTAAAAAACACACATATGCACACAGGAATGTGCACAGCGACTCTGGTACATTTGGTCTCAAATGCTCACATGATCTGGAGCGAGAATCCAGAGGAGCAGACAAACCTTCTGTGCCTAGGTCAGAAATAACTGGATTTTGATGTGGGTGTGCCTTCACAAAAAAGGCTGCAGATAAACAGAATATGTTGAATCTATGCTAGTTATTAAAAAGAACAAACAATACCACTTATAAATAAGTATCTATCAAATTTGCTTGACTGTTAGTTGAATGGTTGGAGCATGACCAGTTAATAAACAGTAGTTTTGATTTATGGGGGAATTTACCTGCAGGTGTGGTCATTGTTAGCCTCAGAGTAATGAAATCTCTGATACAAATAGTTTGCAAATTCTTCCAATTCACAAGTACTGCATACCTTTTTCTAGGCATGTTTAAAAAAAGTGCAGAAAATGAAAAAAGAAAAAGAAAATGGAAAAAAGACAATCGTAAAATAAACAAAAGAGAAAATGATGCAATAAAGGGGAAAATAAAATAATGGCTATAAAAATGGAAAGAAGAGGAGAAAAAAGTTAAATATATATCAAAATCTGTAAACGTTAAACTTTTAAGGGCAGAACTCTTTTATTTTGACAGGTGTGTTTCGGTAACCGTTTGCTTGGATCCAGTAACTCTCAGGCCTAATAATAATACATTTATGAACAAATTTGACTACTTTGAACAAATGAAACTTATATTGGATATGTAATCTGAAAATAATTACATAAACACTTTTTAAACATAACGAGCTTCCTAATATCACATCAGCTGTCGCTTCACATTTTTGCTTCTACTCTTAATAAAAATCTTTGCCCTAAAAGTTCAAAATCATGGGCAATTTATTAAAAAACACAAAAATATAATTTAACATTTTTCACTATGCATACGTTCCTGCGCTTTTGTGAACAATCCAATATGTGAATCACTGCAGGAGTTATCTGAACTTTCACTGAACTGCAACAAAGAGACGATGATCTCGCCTCATAAAGCTGTTTGTCGTGCAGTCAGAGTATTTTGAAGCGATGTCGGAGCGACCAGGACACTTTTCTGTACTGAGCAGGAGGATTGAGAGCAACTCTTTTCTAAACCAGTGACAAAGTGCTAAATATTAGGCAGTTTTTTCTAAGTGTGGCCAAAAACTTAGAGCAGTGCTCGTTGGAGCTTGAGGAGCTGCAGGTGCTTTATCCACAGTACTGGTCGAGGATGCAGGTGTCCTCTGGACAGACTGAGGTCGAGTCTCTCTGTCTGAGCTTCAACATAGACTGTCCTCGCGCAGTGATCCGTGCCCACAGAGAGTACGTGGAATCATGAGGAGAATCTGATCTGCACCCCAAACTGAGCTTCTCTGCACACGAACATCTCTGACCTGCTCTTTCCTATATTGTCGGACCTCCTTCCCAACTAAACAACTAAAAAAGTTTATGATTAAGTGGAAATGCATCACTGTTGGATAACTTACCTGTTTTGTGTGCACGTGCCTGTCACACATTTGAAGGCTGATGGTTTGATCAGTTTGATAGATGCCATAAAAAGCTAAGTAAAAAAAGTTAATACATTCAAACAACAGGTTGGATGAAAATGACAACCAAAAGAAAGCAAGCCTTTATTTAACCTGTTAATGTTAAAGAACACTGACACGGAGTGACAACAGCATCAGCTTGTTAGTACAAGATCGTTTTTAGGCTTAATAAGACAGTGGCAGACAGAACTGGGAACAAAATAATTTAGAGAAAATGAGGTTAGTGATGGAGGGAGAGACTAAAAAAAACTGAAAGAGGCAGTTTCAGTGTGAAAGAAGCCAGTGTGTGAAGATGGGAGCAGGAGAGGGAGGGAAATGGAGAGGGGGGATAAAAGAAAGTAAGAACTGTTTGAAGCTAAGGCGAACAGAGATGGCCTTCATGGTTCAGCTGGTGAAAGGGATGCCCTCTCAACCCCTTGCTCTGAAGTGAATGCCTGACCCCCCCACCCCCAACACACACACACACACACACACACACACACACACACACACACACACACACAAACACACACACACACACACACACACACACACACACACACACACACACACACACACACACACACACACACACACACACACACACACACACCCTAGTGGGATGCACCATTATTAGGTTCAGTCATCCAGCTGGGGGTAGACCATCCTGCTTTACTTTACCCAGGAGGAAGCATCATACCTGGGATGTTGCAGATCCCAACCCCCCAACCACCGAGCCCCCATTTAACCACCAGCTCCCACCCCACCAACACACCTGTTCCACATTACACATCTTTTGCATTTTACACATCACAAATTTTCAAGGCAGTGTTAAAAAATCTAGAGCCAAGACTTTTTGTGTTAATTACGATTAATTCATTATAGACCCCCCCCCCCACACACACACACACACACACACTAGTTAAAAATGTTTATTTTATGTGCACCTTTTCAGTTCCACTTTCTGGCACATCAGTAACGCTGCTGCTCAAAGTTCTGCCCTGTGGGCCGTGGAAATGCAACTGAAGTTTGTTTGTCAGTCGCACAGAGCTCAAGTTGTTTGGTAATTAGCAATGAAAGATGAGAAAAGTGCTCTGCTTTGTTTGTAGGACGGGCCTTTAAAAAACCCTGATAGTAGCATGAGGTACTGTGTGTAAATAGTGCCTACTGGAACTTTCTCATGAATGCAGCCTGTCAAGCTAAAGGTATTTTTAAATACAAATATGCGTTTCCCACCGGTAAGGAAAGAAAACTGCTGTCTACATGCACATGGTCTAACCAGTCTACAGACCAAATGATGGGCTTCAGAGACAAAATAAGTAAGTCTAAATCTGACTAAACAAACTGGTAAAATGGACTGCAGTGGACCAACATAATTTCTGTTCTATAAGCCGCTACTTTTTTCACAGGCTTTGAACCCCGTGGCTCATACTGTGGCTAAGTTATGGATTTTTTATGATGATGTAATGAGCTTCCTGCCTCCAAAAACATTTAGCCTCTTCACACCCGGGCGCTCACAAGCTGCCCAATACAGGTCTCTCTTGTGGGGTGGATCCTCGTGACTCAGTGAGACTAACTGTATCAATAACAGTAAAAATAACAATCTGACCAGTGAAATTACCGGACAGGTCTGTAGTGGATCAATGAAACGAGGAGGGGAGGAGAGAATGGGAGAGGGGGGACGCCCCTGCATGTGCAGAGCAACTTTTGCTCCGCGGAGCACAAGCTTGCAGTAAGAGGGATATGAAGATCAATGAATTCCTGGTAGGCAAATGTATTTTTTTTGACAATGAAAGAGACGGAGGACGTGTGTGATGAAGTTTTTCTGATGCAGTTCAACTCTGACAATTATTTTTTTAACCCGCCGTATTAAAGGCATTGTTCAGAAAAAAAATTACTGTACATATTTGTGTGTGTTACTGGTACACATTTAATTAAAAGTTAAAAAAATCTTTCTGTGTAAATATCTCATGTTTCAATGTGAACACCCACAGCATATTCACAAGTGCAGCCTATATATGCACACATTTATTAATTTTTTTGTTTAGTGTGCGTGGCTTATATTCAGGTGTGCTCTATAGTCTGTAAATTACGGTACATCTTTATAATAACATTCATTTTACTTATTATGTATCATCATTATTGTCACAGTGGTCATTTTATTTGCACCTCCAGTTTGAAGTCATCTGTGAATGTATGAAAAATGTATATATAAGATGGAAAATAGTACTTTCTCTTATTTAGGTATACTTTTTCATTGATTCAGACTTTGACGATACCTTGTTAGATTTGAAAATTTTTGGTTGTGACCAATATTGCTCTTTGATAAAAATGCCACAAAATGAGATTAATAGAGATTAATTCATTACAAAGGCATAATTAACTCAATTATTTACACACGAGGTCAATTCATCTCACAAGACCCTCGGAGCATGTGGAGGGGCATTAAGTGCATAACAGATTATAAAGGAAGGAGTGAACAATGCCCCAAAGACCCATCTCTGCCTGATGCCCTCAACAAGTTCTATGCACGCTTTGAAGACCCGAACAGACCACCCAGCACCAGACTCACCTCGCCACCGGATGAAGAGCATCTCAGCGTGACCTCAGCAGAAGTAAGGAGTACCTTCAGGAGGATTAATCCGCACAAAGCAACTGGCCCAGACAACATCCCCGGAAAAGTGTTGAAGGAATGTGCTGATCAGCTCTGTGAGGTGCTGGCAGACATCTTTAACACCTCACTTACCCTGGAGACAGTTCCCACCTGCCTGAAGACTGCCACCATCATCCCAGTCCCAAAAAGCTCTACAGTGACTGGTCTGAATGACTATCGGCCAGTGGCCCTCACCCCGATAGTCGCTAAATGCTTCGAAAAACTGGTCATGACTCACATCAAAACAACCATCAACATCAACGAGGACCCTCATCAGTACGCATACCGTGAGAACCGATCAACAGAGGATGCCATCTCCTCTGTGGTCCACACTGCACTCAACCACCTGGAGAAGAAAAACTCTTACGTCCGTATGCTCTTTGTGGACTTCACATCCGCCTTCAACACCATGATCCCCCAAACCCTGATGGACAAACTATCCACACTAGGACTAAGCCCCTCCATCTGCAACTGGGTACTGGACTTCTTAACAAACAGATCACAGTTAGTGAGGATCCACAACCTCTCCTCCTCCACCATAACCCTCAGCACTGGCTCTCCTCAGGGATGTGTGTTGAGCCCCCTTCTGTTTACTGTGCTCACATATGATTGTGCAGCTACCCATCCAGGCTGTCACATTGTAAAGTTTGCAGATGATACAGTGGTGGTGGGATGCATCACAAACAATGATGAGTCCAGCTACAGGCAAGAGGTGGAACACCTGGAGAGCTGGTGCAGAGAGAATAACCTTCACATCAATGTGAAGAAGACAAAGGAGATGATTGTGGACTTCATAAGGAACAAAAACACCTACACCCCCATGAACATAAGAGGATCTGCAGTGGAAGTGGTCTCCAGCTACAAGTACTTGGGTGTACACATGAATGACAACCTCAGCTGGAGCAACAACACCACCAGCCTGATCAAGAAAGCTCATCAGAGACTCTACTTCCTCAGACGGCTGAGGCGAGCTGGTCTGGGAAGCTCAGTCCTCACCTCCTTCTACAGGTGTGCAGTGGAGAGCATCCTGTGCTCGAGCATCAATGTGTGGCATGGAGGCTGCACAGCTGCAGAAAGAAAAGCTTTGCAGAGAGTGGTGAAGGCTGCACAGAAATCTGTTGGAATCAGTCTCCCCACCATCACAGACATCTACACCTCCAGATGCAGGAAGAGGGCCACCTGCATCATGAAGGACCCCACCCACCCAGCACACACACTTTTTGCCCCACTCCCCTCAGGAAGGAGGTTAAGGAGCATTAAGTGTAGAACCACTAGACTGAGGAACAGCTTCTACCCTGAGGCTGTTAGACTCATGAATCTCTAACTAGAATAATCACTGTGAAAAACCATATCATGTTGCTGCTGATCTGTTTCATGTTGCTGCTGATCTGTTTCATGTTGCTGCTGATCTGTTTCAATGTTGATGTGTTCATGCGTGCACATCTGCTCACAGACTCATGTTCATGTTTGTGCTGATGTTCAATGTTTTATGTTATGAGTGCTTAGTGTATATTTAGTTGATGTTTTTCTTAGTTCATATCTTAGATGTTATTACTGTTTTTCTTAGACATTTTATTGTTGGATGTAACTGGGACCCCGTGTACATAATTTCGCTCCACCACATGTACCACATGAGGTGCGAATGACAATAAAGAAACTCTGACTCTGACTCTGATTATTTTCTAATCTTGTCATAAGCCTAAAAAACATATTATGGCCCCAAACATCTGAATACCCAGAGTGCACGGCATCTCACTTGTGGGACCATTTTGAAGGGTCATTTTACTGCAGTGCACGGACCTTCTCCTCACCACAGATTTGATGCCTCACCTTTGTTTAAAGGCCTTTTCAGACATCTCCCGAGCAGCTCTGCGCACTTCTTCTGGAACAGCATCCTTCTCCGCCTGGGAAACCTGGTAAACTTTGTGGCCACTATCAAGGCGATAGGGGCCCCCTTTCCCTCCCAGTCCTGCAGTGTCTCTGCCACCTGAAGACAAACACATCCAAGTTTCACAATTATTATTATTATTATTATTATTATTATTATTATTATGACAATAAAGAATGACAATAAAGAAGCTCTGACTCTGACTCTGACTCTGATTATTGAGGACAACATTCATGTAACATTTATTTAATTATATAGGGGAGAGTTTCTCAAATGTGATATTCAAAAGTTCATATTAAATTTCTAGGGGATGACAAAGTCAACTTGTAATAAAGAAATCTTTTATCTTTTAGCAAAATATCTCAAGACCACTGGATGGATTTTAATGACACTCTCAGAAAGTAATCATTGGATAAACGGTATATCAGCAGCTGATTATCAGTTCGTCCAGTTCAACATGGCTGTGGCAGCTAAGTGACATTTGTCAACACCAAAATGACTCCAAATCCACCAGCTTCACGGAGAGTGGTTTAAAGGTAAATATGGTGGTAGTTGAGAGTCATTCACAACTTATACACTTGAGTACTAACAGATCTTGCAATATCAAAAGATTGTGCATAACATTTAATATTTTGATCAAAACTGCTGTAACTTTCAACATAAGCTGATCTTGGTCTAGAACTCAGACATGAGAGGCAGCGGGTGACAAGCATTACTTCATGAAATGCTCGGCATAAAATATTAAATTTGCCTGCAACCTCAAGACATGATGCTGCTGTCTGCAGTTTTATTGTGAAGTGTTTCACAGTAATGTGCACTGTAACTTTCTAAAATAATTACTTTAAACTTCATGAAATGCCTGATAAAATAAAATACCTTTGTTTACACTTAAGATTGAACAAATTAAATAACAAGAACTAAAAATTAACAAAACACTGTATATTAAAAAGATAGGAGTTTAAATTTACAGGGATAATCAGAATACAGAGTAACCTGGTATGAAAAATTGCCTGGAATTCCTTCAATGAGCTGCTAACCGCAGGACAATACTTGTTTTTTTACCACTCCAGTTGTCATCGAACAAATCACTCACATGCACTTGTGCTGGACTGGAGTAAAATAAATACACATTTGTCCCTCCACACATTTTAAAAACTTGTTTATTAAGTCTAAATTTCATTGGATGTTTAGATAATGCCATGGTGACATCTCTTTCTCAGCTGCTTTTCTGACAATGTCCCTAACAGGATACTGGTCTCACTCTGCCATGCTGGAAGGATGGCATGTACATAAATGCCTTTTAGCTCTTTTACCACTTATTAACATTGACCAAAAGCTAAACAGCTGAAACCCTTCAACACTGTGTCAAACGTGTCAGCTGTCAGTGGTTGCAGCCTCTTCTCAGCCTACGACTGACATATAAAATCTAAGATTTGATATATTTTACAAACTAATAATATTCTGATTTACTGATGTTTTAAATAAAATATTGTTTAAATGCAGTAAAAGTACACTTCATTGCATTGTACCATGAAAATCCTTATACAATGATAGATGATGACTGATAACATCACGTCATGGGTGGAACGTGTCCATATTTCAGATGCAGTGGGATCATCCTGTTACCTGTGCCTCCTGCCCACTGGTTTCCCCCAACGTGAGGAGCGTTGTGTGGATCAATCTTGCCATGTTTTGGGGTTGATACATCCAGGTCACTGTCCCTCTGAATTGTGATCTAAAAAAAATAAATACATTATTAAATAAAAATAATAATCGGAAGAAAAAAGTATATATATTGATTTTTTTATTTAGTCAGAATCGATTGAGATGCTCCCATAAACTTCCTTTCACTTTATTATCCTCTAGAATTCCACTGGGGGCCAAAAAAAAATCAACCATATCAAAATGTATTATAAATGATTTATTTCATTCCATATTTATCATATTATAAAATAATTGATTACGTTAGCCATTGTGTTATTATTTACATTTATGCCTCCATATTCGATTCTTGTATTAGCCCAGTCTCCACTTTCACAAGTGGGAGATGTTGAAATGTTGCTTGCAACTCACTCAGTAAAGGCACCTCCTTCTTGGTTGCCAGTTCCTGCAAACATAAGTCTCTTATCTCATTAAAAAAAAGATTTTAGTTTGGCTGGGAAGTAGAAAAAAACCCTTGCTTTGTGCACATGTAAAGATTTGGTATAAAACCGTAGGTCCACATGCAGGCTGAAGAAATCCTCATCACCTCAAAAAACATTGATTCATAGCTGGCTGCATGCGGCTGAGTCTGCAACCAAGTTAAGACTTAAAGCAGTTTGCTGGCTCCTCAGATAAATAATGTTATTAACTTATTTTTCATGTATATGAATATTTCTGTTCAGTGCCCTGAGATGACCTCTGTTGTGACTTGGTGCTATAGAAATAAACTGAAGTGAACTGGAAACAAGCTCTTGTTGGTGGATAGACCGGGCTGCTGCAACTCTGGTCTACCCAGTCGAGGAAAAGTAAAAAATTAAACAAATGCTGAGGTTGTGCACAAGTAAAGGTTAAGGAAATAATAATAAAAAAATAAAATAAAATAAAAACCTCCATCTCTGACAGCCACACAACCCCTTCAAGTTTATGGGTTAATTGCTGTCCAGATGCACCGATCGATCGGCATTTGTCTTCCAAATGAAAATTCAAAGTATGTCAAATTGTAAAATCATCATAATCACAAAATATAAAAGTGTTAAACGTAATTTTTAATTATTTTAGAAGTCCTATGTTCAGTTGTTTCAGTGTAATTGATGAAGAAGTACATTTCTGCTCCGTGCTGCAGAGATGAAGCTTGTGACATCCCTTTGATGTCCTGCTGCACTTCTTTTTTCTTCTCTACAACTTAAATTTAAATACTGTAACATTTTAAATAAACAATCCATGGATTGTTTAATTAAAATGTTACAGTATTTAAATTTAAATTGTTTATTTAAAGAGGGAGATTGGGAGTAACAGGTGTTGAGTGTGATTACAGCCTGGTACATGTCATGACAAAGTTTACTGAACTTGAAGTGAACTTGAACTTCTGTATCCCTACTTCGTGGTTTTTCACTTATGGCGGGTGGGCGTGGTCCCTAACACCTGCGATAAACAAGGAACTACTGTATACATTCGTACATACATACATACAGTACATACATACATATTTATACATATATACATACATATATATACATATATATACATATATATATATATATATATATATATATATATATATATATATATA